TTTTCTTGATTCTGTGGGTTGCCTTTTCATATTTTATGTGTTTTTTTCAAACACAAACATAGTTAAATTTGATGAAGTCCAGTTTATCTATTACTTTGTTTGCCACTTGTAATTTTGGTGTGATAACTACGGAAGTTTTCTCCAACTTGAGGTCATGAAAATTTACTCCTACAATTTCTTCTAATTGTTTGATAGTTTTACCTCTTACATTTAGGTTGTAGATGTTCTTTTGAAATTTTTATAATAATAGAAATAAAGTTAATAAAAATTATCTAAATGTGACAATACTAAAATAGTTTATACATCTATAATAATAAAAGGGTAATATGCTAATTAGACCAGACGTCATTCCGGATGTCCTTCCTGATGAAGCTGGGGCCTAGGGAAGCCAGCCCGGGTCCTGGGTGCCTGCGGGCAGCTGGAGGAGGAAAGCAGCTCGGGTCCCGGGTGCCAGAGGAAGCCGGTGCTGGCAGCTGGGGGAAGGAAGGCCTACTTTTGCATGAATTTTCGTGCATTGGGCCTCTAGTATTATAGATAAATGAGTAAAATTCTCTGAGTTGAATGTACTAGATTCAGTTTGTCTATTTTGCTGAGTTGAATGTACTAGATTCAGTTTGTCTATTTTGCCTCTTTTTCTCTTATAAGTATACTAGAGGCCCAGTGCACAAATTCATGCACGGGTGGAGTCCCTCGGGGAAGCTGGCTATTGGAGTCGATTGGGGCCAGCCAGGGGGAGGGACCATGGGAGGTTGGCCAGCCAGAGGGAGGGACCATAGGAGGTTGCCTGTGGGAGATCACTGACCACCAGGGGCCAGCTTCTGCGTTGAGCCTCTGCCCCCTGGTGTTCAGCGTGCATCATACCGACTTGTCTAGTAGTCATAATGTTCGCTTAGGCTTTTATATATATACTAGAGGCCTGGTGGATGAAATTCATGCACGGGGGTGTGTGTCCCTCAGCACAGCCTGCACCCTTTCCAATCTGTGACATCCCTCTCACAATCCAGAACTGCTGGTTCCCAAATGCTCGCCTGCCTGCCTGCCTGATTTCCCCTAACCACTTCTGCCTGCCAGCCTGATCACCCCCTAACCACTCCCCTGCCAGCCTGATCAACACCTAACTGCTCCCCTGCTGGCCCGATTGCCCCTAACTGCCCTCTCCTGCCAGCCTGGTCACCCCTAACTGCCCTTCCCTGCAGGCCTTGTCCCTCCCAACTGCCCTCCCCTGCAGGTCTGGTCCCCCCAACTGCCCCAGGCCTGCTCACCCCTAACTTCCCTCCCCTGCAGGCCTGGTTGCCCCTAACTGCCCTCCCCTGCAGGCCTGGTCGTCCCTAACTGCTCTCCCTTGCAGGCCTGATCACCCACAACTGCCCTCCCCTGCTGGCCTGATCAGTCACAACTGCCCTCCCTTGCAGGCCTGGTCCCTCCCAACTGCCCTCCCCTGCTGGCCATCTTTGACCACATGGGGGCGGCCATCTTGTATGTTGGAGTGATGGTCAATTTGCATATTACCTCTTTATTAGATAGGATATTATTTAAAATGTTATTTGATTAAGTATTATAAGCAGGGGGGCAAATGTAGATTTACAGTTGTGAGTATGCTAAACACTGAGTTTATTCTTGTATTTTTATAATTATTGTACTATTTTTTCATATGAACAACTGAACCTACTTTTTCCAACCCTTGTACTTAAGGTCTTACCCAGGCCTTACCCAGGCCAAGTGCTTAATAAGGTAGGGAACTACTTGATATAGTAAATAACAGTCTTATAACATGGACGATTGACTTTCTTAGTTTTAATAATAGAACAACTTTGACAGGAGAATGTAGATGACAGCATATGGGAGGTTAGAGAACAAGGAAGCTATCTAAACAAGATGATTGCAGCCTACCATATGTCTATTACATGAAAAGCAACATACAACTCTTGATGCATTTCAGGATTAGAGTCTATGGCTGTGTGTCCAGACATTTACATTTGGGAATATGCTACTATTTGCAAACTATGATTAGCCCTTTATATTTAAACTAGAGGCCCAGTGCACGAAGGGTTCCTAGCAGCTGTCAGCTGCCAGCCAGCTACTCCCTCTCTTCCTCTGGCCTCCTGCTACCACCAGGACCTCCCTCCCTTCCCCCACCTGCCCCCTCCCCCCTACCCCCAGTCAAACTCTGGATAACTTTCAGTTGAAGGGACAATTTGCATAGAGTACTATGCTTTTTATTGTATAGGATACTTTGAGATATTTCTTGATTATTGCTTTTTAAAATAATTCTTATTTTTTATAGACAGCAAATTCCTCATGTGCTTTAGGACCTCAGTACTTACAATATGTGTCTTTCTATATTACTGTGATACATGATGTACCTGTCCATATTTAAATGCTTTGGGGTTCTTTAGTACTTTTTTGTTTTTTAATTCTGACCTGTGTACTGTGAATTACTCTTTTGCTGTAGGTACCTAGCACTTTCAATGTGTAAGTTCCTTCTTGGATCTGATGAGATTATAAATGGTAATCAGCAACCTTTAAATGTTAAATCTCTTCAGAAAAGAAAATGTTTATTTACTACCAAATTAAATTTCCTCTGTAAAAGTAAAATATTAAATTTTAATTAATATTGAATATAAATAAACACTATTGAGGAATAAATATTACTTCTGTGCATTTGGCAGAGATGTGCTAATATTAGGTGATTGGCTGGAAAATTTTAAGAACAAACTTTTAAAATCCCATATGTACATTATCATTGTCCTCAGATGTCGTTATTTCTTCCAGCATCTCCTTTGGATTTATTTTGCAGTTGCTGGTAGGACCTTTCCACAGATAATGGCCATTGGCACTTTGTAAATTAAAAATATTCAAAACAATATGTTATGTAAAATATTCATTTAAAAATACCAACAGGACTTTCTCTTGGTATGTCTTATTTTCCTTAGTAGCCTTACTTTCATCGCAGTCACAAGGAAATTGTTGGTACCTATCATTCTTCCTTGCTATATGGTGATATACCAAATTCTACCTAGCATCTATACCAGTGATGGTGAACCTTTTGAGCTCGGCATGTCAGCATTTTGAAAAACCCTAACTTAACTCTGGTGCCGTGTCACATATAGAAATTTTTTGATATTTGCAACCATAGTAAAACAAAGACTTATATTTTTGATATTTATTTTATATATTTAAATGCCATTTAACAAAGAAAAATCAACCAAAAAAATGAGTTCGTGTGTCACCTCTGACACGCGTGTCATAGGTTCGCCATCACTGATCTATACTAATAAAAGGCTAATTAGACCGGATGTCTTCCTGACATCCTTCCAGACAAAGCCGCAGCAGCTTCAAGGTCTGAGGGCCAGTGGTGCGGGAGAGGTAGCAGTGTGGGCCAGTCCAGCACCACGGCCCCTTCGGCAGAGGCAGCGGGAGAGGGGGCTGCACGGTCCCAGTCCCAGTGCTGACCCTTCTGCAGAGGCAGCCGCAGAGGCAGCGGCTCGGGCCTGGCCCTGGTGTCACGCCTCCACAGAGGCTGGACAGGGTGCGACTTGCTGTGCCTCAACCTCCCACAGCCCCTCCCCCACCTGACCTGGCCCCAGATCGCCCCCCGCCCACCAGTGGATGGGGGCAGGGCCAGCGCTAAAAAGCGAGGGCTGAGGCCCGGCAGCTGCGGCAGCCGGCATTGGCAGCAGCAGTGGGGTGATGGGGATGGCGCCTTCCCCTGATCAGCCCTGTCACATCCCACAGAGGGAGGCCATCAGTAGGACATCCCCTGAGGGCCCCCAAACTGTGAGAGAGGGCAGGCTGGGCTGAAGGATCCCCACCCCCAGTGCACGAATTTTCATGCACCGGGCCTCTAGTTGTTTTATAATATGCCTTATATCTTTCTCTTTTTTATACTTCAGCATTATTTCTCAAGGTCAGGTTTTTTGTTTTTTTGTTTGTTTGTTTGTTTTGATTGTTCTCCGGAGTATTTCAACAACTCTTAACTGTCTTTTTGCCTTCATTGCTACCAATCTTTTACACTACAGACCCTGAGTGTCTTCCTAATACACAGGTAGTCAAGGTACTGTTCCTTCAAAATCTGTTAGTCTTATAGACTAAAATTCACACTCCTCAGCATGGTATTTAAAGCCCTTTTGGCTCAGGCTCCAAGACTACCGTTTACACTCACCTACCACATCAACTTTTTCCCTGATTATGAAATGTACTGTAAATGTGGTCTAATTTCTCTCTTCTTTTGCTTATGTTGTTTCTTCAATCTGAATGCCTTTCTCCCATATTGACATATTTTTATTCTTTACAGCTCAATTTAAATGCCACTGTTTTTGGGAAGAGACTTCTTAATATGTTCTAGTTAGAGTTAACATTTTGCTTCTAATTTTCTTTCAATAATGCATTTCTTGGACCTTTATGCAATACTTATTTCATTTTAACATAGTGATTTATGCTTGAGGTCCTCAGTCAGACATATCTGGATGTAAATCCTGCCTCTGCTGCTTATTTCCTCTACATTCTTGGGCAATCAATTTAATTTCCTAAGCTTCTTCCTTATCTGTTAAATCGAGCTAATATTTGTACCTAATGTGTGGGTCTCTTTTTATGTTAAGTCAGATAACAGCACATCAGCATGATAAACGGTATCTATATATGTGTTCTAGGTACTTGGGCACTTGGCTTTCTCCCCAGGAGATAGTAAGCACTTCGAGGATGGGAATTCGTTTTACTTGTACCCAGTCCAGCCTGCTCTCTTTTGGTTTTGTTGGTCATGATTCATGGGACATTAACTATAACTTATTAGAATTAACATTAAGTTATTGTTATATTGTCTCATTGCACAAAGGAATGGGGATGACTTATGAGATACATAAAGAACAAAAGAGTGAAACAAATAAAATAGTAATAAGTGCATTTTGAATAAAGAGTTTCATTTCACCATTGTCAACCTAGATCAAACAAAAGCTATCACTAAGAAAATGTCAAAGCTTGTCTTTATTCTGTCATGTTTTTAGGATCTCGTCTTCGTCAGGAAGACTTTCCCCCACGGATTGTGGAGCACCCCTCAGATGTCATTGTTTCCAAGGGAGAGCCCACCACATTGAACTGTAAGGCAGAGGGCCGGCCAACACCCACCATTGAGTGGTATAAAGATGGTGAGCGGGTGGAGACGGACAAGGATGATCCGCGCTCCCACAGGATGCTGCTGCCCAGCGGATCCTTGTTCTTCTTGCGCATTGTGCACGGTCGCAGAAGTAAGCCTGATGAAGGAAGCTACGTTTGCGTTGCAAGAAACTATCTTGGTGAAGCAGTGAGTCGGAATGCATCTCTGGAAGTGGCATGTAAGTGAACACAATGAACCTCATAAATGGCATGCGCATTTACTTTGATTTATTTGTAGTAAGCTTTGTTCCCATGGATGCTTAATACCCAAAGAATAAAACAATTAAAATGCTCTGCCTAATTTTACTTTGTCTTCTCTAGAGAAAGCTAGTCAAAATAATGCCAAACCAGGGTGTTGCAGTAAATTTATTTAGATTACAGCACCATGGTGATTGTTACTATATTACAGCAAGGTGGCGATGCTACTCATATTTAAAATTTGAGTTATTACTGAGAGATATAATCAAGTATTAAAGTTGGCAGTGTTAAATGAAAAGTTTGTGTCTACCATGTCAGCAAATACAAGGGATGCATTCAATATTATACCAATTTCTGTTGCCTATTTATAACTAATATACTGTATATATGTATAAATCTGAATTTTATCAGGCAATTTCTGATAAAGGAATCATTACTCTAGGCATGCCTGGAAGAACACACCAACAATAATTCCAATTATACTTTCTTTATTTAATAGGAAAGTCATCATAGAAGATATCTTATTTCTGTAGAGACAGAATGTTCATACATCAGAGGGTCTAAGTCTTGGGAATCAGCAGTAGCTAAGGATTTGCCCTGACTTTGACATTGAAAAATATATTTATTAAGCAGATAACCCAAATAACACTAGTAAATCATGATATCAATGCTTTGTAGCAATTTTTACATTAATTCCAAAACTTCATGAATTATTTTCCAGAACAAAATAAAAAATATGATAGATTTTTTTTCTGGTTTACAGCGAGGATTTGGTATGGTAATTTAAACAGCATGATATATTTTTTTATATTATCTATTTTGAGGAAATGTTTTATCTATAATTAATTGTGAAAAAGACAGAAACAGTTGGATCTTTAAAAAGTTTGTACTTTTCAACTTTCTGCTTGTACCATAGGTCTCACAGATAAGAGAATTTAGGCATGAGTCTTATTTATATGTCTTGAAGGGTAGTGCTAAATAATAGCTCATGGTCTCATGTCTGTAATTAATGTTGAAAATTTTACTTACATTCTAAATTTATTATACTAGATTATAAAACTTGTGTATTTGTGTACTAAAATTCTTAACAATATATCACTACCTGTTATCATTACTTTTAGACATGAAAACATCTTTTAGTAAACAAAATCATACTATTTCTTATTCAGCTACCCTGATGACAGTTTTTGTTATCAAGTGTCCAGTCTTTTTTTTTTTAAATTTTTTAAAAAATATATTTCTTTATTGATTTCAGAGAGCAAGGGAGAAGGAGAGAGAGATAGAAACATCAATGATGAGAGAGAATCACTGATCGGCTGCCTCCTGCACAGCCCTTACTGGGGATCGAACCCGCAACCCAGGCACGTGCCCTTGGCCGGAATCGAACCTGGGACCCTTCAGTCCACAGGCTGACGCTCTATCCACTGAGCCAAGCCGGCCAGGGCAAGTGTCCAGTCTTTTGATTTATAGTTCATACCAGGAAATCTGGAACCCACAGATGCTTGAAATGTGTATGTCCAATAGGAACAGATTAGAAAAATCCTAAACCCGAATTTGTTTTGTGAAAGACCTCAATATATGAGCATTAGAACCTTAGCTAGCAATGCCATTTTGCCTGAACACCAGGTAATTTACTTTCTATAAATTATTTTAAAAAGCAGTTAAATTAAGTTTAGTGAGATTTGAAGCATACACAAAACCTTAAGAATGCAAATATTCCTAACTTCCATTTCTATTTTGAAATATCTTATTTCTGGAACTTTTCAAAAATATTGAAATAATTCAATGTCTAATTCTATTGATCTTTTTTCTACCAGGTCCCTTTATAGTAAATATAATAGGCATTATTCTCCCTTTTATAGATAAAATGAAATCTTAGTTAACTAACTGAGATTTAAACAAGTTAATGGGGAATTCAAGATCAGATTTGGGTTCTTTTAATTTTCAGTTTTAGAAAATTGTGCCATATTTGGTAAAACTAAAATAAAATCTGGACTATTTTATATAAATAAAAAATACAAATTTTGAGTTTTTAAATTTTTTCTTTTATCTACTTAACAGCAAATAACTATTTTTATTGATGTTTAGAGAGAGAGAATAGGAGAGGGAAAGAGAAAGAAATATTGATGTGAGAGCAAAACGTTAATCAGCTGCCACTTACACTCCCCTACCAGGGATCGAGCCCCTCAACCCAGACCTGTGCCTTGACTGCAAATCAAACCAGCAGCCTTTCAATGCCTGGGAGAATACCCAACCAACTGAGTCGCACCAGCCCAGGCAGCAAGCAATTAACTATTTTTAACCTTAACTAACCTTTCTTCTAAATATTAAAATTTATCAAAATTGGCCAGTCATTTTATTGTTGGGCAGATATAAGGTTATAATTTCTTTTTCAAAGCCTTAGTTTTTTGTTAAAATTGCTCTCAATAAACATGCATCTTGTATTTTTATTTAGTAACCTGAAGGATTGCTTTCTTTCGTAATTCCATCATTAATAATGAATCAAACTGTTTTAAGAGGAAGATTTTAAATAATGACTTTTTTCCTGTAATATGACAGTAGCTTTTTAAAAAATCTTAAATCAATGAGCTTTGAGAAATGCTAAAAATATTTCTGACCTAGAGAGGAAAACACAAGTCTTCAAAATTGAATTTAGCTAGTGAATAAAATTCTTTCTTCTAATGCCATGTCAACAGTTCATGCCATTTGAGGCAACACAAGATCAAATAGTATTCATTTATATGCATCTTTTTCGCATTAGCTCATAAGTATTCTGTCTTTCCTTGTGTTTCATAAAAAGTATTAATATGGAAATTAGGGTCAAAACATTGAGATTTTTCAATAATATTGTAACCAATGTATTTTTATAAAATGGTATAAATTATATATGTTCCTCTACCAGATTATAAAAATTCTTGATCTTCATATTTTTGAATGCCTAACATAAAGGCTCAATTTTAGAACATCATTTTTTTTTTAAACATTAAAGGAACGAGTGGAAACCAAAAAACATTGTGTATTTGGAGAAATTTAGGTGGTTTGATATGAGGTTGGTGGGCAGCATAAGTTTGAAAGGTAGGCAAGTGCTGATTCATAAAATCTAGTCATTTTTGTTCTGTAAAGTGAGAGACTTTGAAACGAAAGAGAAATAAAGATTGGTTTAAAGGAATGATGATTGAAATCAGAGAGGAATTATGAAGCTGCCAAATAACTCAGAAGAGGGTATATGTTAGATTTTAAACTGAAAGTAGCAGTGAAGATTAAAAGAAGCAAATAGTTTGAATCACATTAAGAAATTATAAATCATATCACTTTATGGCCAATTTGTGAGATGATATATATGTTTGGCAGATTGACTGTGTATATTGCTACAATCTCTAGGAATGGCAGCTACAGGACAAATAACTAGTAGGAACCGGAAGCTGAACCTACTTTGGCTGTGTTATTTGCCAGAACAATGAGCTAAGAAGGTGAAACTACCTCATGTTCCATTTTTTAAAAAAGCTTCTGGAATTGAGAAGAAAGGTCTTTCCCAGATAGAGGTCGAAGCCATGGGAGTAGGTAGAAGTAGACATGATTGCCCAGGCAGGCTGTGTACCCAGTGGTTAATAAGAGCCAAGACCACTTCCACTGCCTGGAACCCCGATATTTAATGAGCAAAGGAAAGAAGTGCCAGTGCAGGATGCTCAGAAGAGGTTTCAGAGTTTATGGGGTATCAACAGTGAAGTGACAAGAAAAGGAAGGCAATAATTTTCAGAATGAAAAGTCATTGGCAATGTAAATGCCACATGATGGTCAAGTAAAAGGTGTCTCTGGGCTCTAGGAAAATGAGGAGGTGTTGGGGTTGGAGTGCTAACTGCTACCTGTTCTTCCAAGAAATTAGCTCTGAAGTGTGTGAGGGAACTGGAGCAGGTAATTTCTTTGTTGTGGAGATTTGTGCTGTGCATTGTAGGATATTTAGCAGCATCTCTGGTGTTTGCTGAGGACCCTCCAACCCCACTATGACAACCAAAAATGTCTCCAGACACTCCCAAATTCCCTGGGGCAGGAGTGTAAGGGGACTTGAATTCAGTTAAGAATTAGAGATTTAAGTGCATCTGGCTTGTCAAAAATATATAGATAAGTAGGAAACAAACTTGTTATGACTTTAATTGTGAAATGATTAATTATAAAATTGTGATTTTTTTTTTTACACTCTTTGCTTCACCTTGGTTTTCATTTTTAATTTAAATCTTAGTTTCTGCTGTCTTGGCTGGTTGTATAGAAGTCCCCCTGTTCCTCAAACAATTAAAAATGGAACTCCCATTTGACCCAATAATCCCACTTTTAGGAATATATCCCAAGAAATCAGAAACACAAATCTGAAAGGATATATGCACCTCTAGGTTCATAGCAGCACAATTAACAATAGCTAAGATTTGGAAACAGCCTAAGTGCCCATCAGCAGATGAGTGGATTAGAAAACTGTGGTACATCTACACAATGGAATACTATGCTGCTATAAAAAAGAAGGGACTCTTACCATTTGCAGCAGCATGGATGGACCTGGAGAGCTTTATGCTAAGTGAAATAAGCCAGTCAGAGAAAGATCTCAGTCATTTGTGGAATATAATGAACAACATAAACTGATGAACAAAAATAGATCCAGGGACATAAAAGCATCGAATAGACCGTCCAACCTCAGAGGGAAGGCGGTGGGGGAGGGCAGTAAGAGATCAACCAAAGGACTTATATGCATGCATTGAAGCATAACCCATGGACACAGACAGTAGCGGGGGTAAGCGTATGTGCTGAAGGGTGGGAGTGGCTGGAGAGAGACCAATGGGGTGGTGGGGAAGGAGACATATGTAATACTTTTAAACAATACAGAATTAAAAAAAAGAGTCCCCCTTTTCTTTACCATACTGTATTCTCATCTTTGTTTTTCTTTAGTACATACTTCAATTTTGTGTAAGGGAACAAGATAGTGGAGGAAAAAAAT